ACAGGTGGGGTTTCACCATGTTGGCCAGCCTAGGAGGTGGAAGATCTCAGGTAATCTGCCTGCCTCAGCCTCCCAAAGTGCTGGGATTACAGGCATGAGCCACAATGCCAAGCACGATAGGGTTTCACTGTGTTGTCCAGGCTGCCCAATTCTGAAAGAGGGAAGGAAGGGAAGGAAGGGAGGGAAGGGAGGGAAAGGAGGGAAGAAAGGAAGGAAGGATTACCAAGAGGTGGAGATTACAGTGAGCCGAGGTCATGCCACTGCACTCCAGGCTAGGTGACAGCGTGAGACTCTTTTTTGTTTTTTGAGACGGAGTTTTGCTCTTGTTGCCCAGGCTGGAGTGCAATGGCACGTTCTCAGCTCACTACAGCCTCCACCTCCCAGATTCAAGCGATTCTCCTGCCTCAGCCTCCCAAGTAGCTGGGATTACAGGCATTCACCACCACGACCAGCTACTTTTTTGTATTTTTAGTAGATACAGGGTTTCACCATGTCACCCAGAATGGTCTCAATCTCTTGACCTCGTGATCCACCCACCTCATCCTCCCAAAGTGCTGGGATTACAGGCATGAGCCATCATGCCCAGCCGAGACTCTGTCTTAATTAAAAAAATAAAATAAAAATCCCAGACCACCCAGACCAGACCAGTGGCCAGGTCCCCTCCCCAGGGATCCGGTGAAGCCGCTTATGCAGGGGAGAACAGCTTTTGTCCACCAGGGGGCGTCCCCGTTCTTCGCTGGATATTCCGGCCTTGATCTTGAGGGGGCCAGCGCCTTCCTTACCCAGGTGCCTGGAATAGGTGGACTCCACTAAGATTTTCCAGGAGGCCCACCTGGCAGAAACCCTGCTGTTACAACCCCCGTGCCCTCGTCCCTCTGTGGCCAGCCTCCCACTTCCACCCCCCTCCTCTCTAATCTTGCTCAAGATCATCTATGCAAAGCTCCCTGTGCAAGGGGGTCTGCTGAGCATGTAGCAAGCAGGCTAAAGAGCATTAAAGGCCA